TGAAAAATAGGGTGGTGTGATGAAATACACGAGTATTTTAAAACAGAATCAAATCTTCAAGAAATGAGAAATTGTCACTACTATTAAAAACGGACAATTTAAATAGCACAATAGAGACAGTGAAGATAAAATTGGTGAAGTAGTAGAGAGCTCTGAAGAAATTACCTCAAAATGCATTGAGAGATAAAAACAAGGAAAGTATAAAATCAAACTAAAAAGATGTAGAGGACAGCATGTGGAAAAGCAGCCATCAAGAAGATAACACAAAAGAACATCCCCAAACTAGGAAAAACACAGGGTTCCACTTAGAGAAGGAAAACTGCTCTTGAGTGGATAAATGCTTTAGTTTAGGGTCATTACACATAATGCAATTATGAATATGGTTATACATGCACTTACACATGTGGTCAGGAGTTCAATTGTTAGGCCAGGATCTAAACTGGATTGCTGTTTGGTATACACAGCACCTATTTCAATATACTGTGTGTAATAGGTATCTGTCCACTGTAGAGCTACAGAAGCGATGTGGGGATCTTTGGATCCAAGCTTTAGATTCTCTGATTCTGCTGTAGGTCCTTCGCATAATGTGTTTAACTGCAGGACATTTGTGTAAAGGGTGTATCCATCAGTGTTCATGGCTCCCTAGCCTTCTGTTTTCCCCATCAATGCTTGTTGTACTTCTGATGTTGCCTTATTACCCAAATTATACAATTTTATTTTCACTTACCCTCTCATTCTCCCTTACAACATTTTCTATCACCTCTTAACAGCCACACTCATTATATGCATTAGGTTTGACTCCCAGAGGAGGAGGAGTCCCAGGTGTCTCTAGGGTCAAAGTCCCTGGCTTTCTTTCACTTTATCCTTTCTCCATTTTAGAGCCCCCCACCCCAGCAGTGTATTCAGGTATTCCCTGGGGACAATATGAGGGAAGACCCACAGTACAATGCAAAAAAACATGAAATTTGAGAGGATTGGAGTTATAATTGTAGAGTCAATATATACTGGTTGGTGGGAAGCTATTAAAAATTTCTACACTATTTTTTTCAGCAGTAAAATGAGTATTAATTGCCAGAGACCAGCTCCAGCCAGTCCAGGGGCCCCAAGGTGTGAGAGGTGTCAGTGCTCGAAGAGATGAGAGACACTCACAGCAAGGCTGATGGCATGGCTCTGGCTTTTTAGCACCAGACTTTATTTTTATATTATAAGCCACATAATGATTTTTTCTTCTTACAATGAAAAGCCTGTTGTCCATTTTTTCTAATTACTTTTTTTTTATTTTCAAGGGCATACTCAGAGCATGGGTTACAATCACAGACAGGTGCGAGACAACAGGCAGCCCACACAAGCCAAGGCCTCGAGTGCTGCTGAACTATGCAGAAATTGGCTACATAGGCTAGAATAGTACCTTCCTAATCTAATCTTTACTAGAAGCCCCAAGTTCAAAGCAGACCCTTTTTAAAATGTATCCCCTCTTTGCAATTATTTCTGTAATTCTTTAATTTCTTTATTGTACTTATTTAAAGGTTTACTTAGATCTATTCTACAGTTTTGACATCCTAACCATTGTAGTATTTGTAGCATATAGTGAATTAAAGCTTTATTAACATCTATCTTTATTCCAGTGAGAAGTATATACCAGAGAGCCTGTTGCCTTTTAATTCTTTTCTACAAACAGCTCAACCTTGCATAAGGCATTAACCCTTTCTTCTACACTAACATTCTGCTTGATTAAAGTTCTACAAGGCAATGGACATTTTGGAGGTTATGAGACTAAGTGCTCTTCCATAAAATTCGGAATACAGCAATCATTAGCAGGACCACCAGGAAGCTCCAGCTTGTAGTTCCCACCAAACCTAAAACCACCAAGAGGACCGCAGCTGTCCTTCTTATGCCTTGCTGAGACAGACCTTCTGCTGTGACCTTGTCAGCCAGCTGAAGTTGCCTTGGCCTCATCAATTAATACTATCTACTTTCAGTCCTTTGAAACACATCTGAGTGCCTAAATTGTCCCAGGGGCTAGTCTTTGTACTGGATGCAGCAGTGAATAAACCAGGAAGGAAATTGTAGGATGTTTACTAGGATTAAATATGAACTGTTTATATTAGAAGAGTTGTAGAAATAAGAAATGGGCTTGGGAGGGTATTTAACAAGTTTTTATTGATTTCAAAATTCTAGTCAGTGTTTTAAGCACTGGGGTTACGTTATTAAGATAAGAGACAGTCAATCAGAAAATTAGCAAGCAAAACAAATTTAGCCAGTTAATTTCAGATAGTGAGATGCTGTATGATTTACATAAATCAGTGAGAGCAAATCAAAGTACTTTGGAGACCAATGGGAAAGTTTTCTTCGGAAGCTTAAACCAAGCCAGCCAATTGAACAATAAAAGTAGCAGTAAACAATAAAAGTAGTAGTAAAGAGAATAAAAAGGTAATGCCAGAAGGCAGTTGTGGAATAGTGGGTTAAGCCACACGTGGGGCACCCGCATCCCATATCAGAGTGCCTAGGATTGGGTTCTACCTCCACTTGGGATGCTTCAGCTTCCTACTACCATGTAACCTAGGAGGCAACAGGTGATGGCTCAAGTATTCGAGTCTCTGCCATCCATGTGAGAGACCCAGATGGAGTTCTTGGCTCAGCATTGCCTGTTGTAGGCATTTGGGTAGTGATCCAGCAGATGGAGGATCGATTTCTCTCTCTCTCTCTTCTCTGCCTTTCAAATCAATAAAATAATTAAACTTTTGTAAAAAGTTACATCAGGAGTACACAGAGAACTAAATGAGTCAGCATATGGCCACCAGAACTAAACAGAAAACAATTCAGAGAGAAAGGAAACTTTGAACCCAGATGGCTGTCAGCAGTGATAAGCAGGTGCACCCATTATTCCTCTCTAAGAGGAAAAAATACCTTGCACTGCTCTGAAGATGGTTGTGTTTATGTATTCCATGATAAATTACATTTTTGGCTATTTTTAGTCAAATCATTTGTAATTCTTTCATGCTAGTCCTACAAACCTCCCATCCCAGAAAGTTTTCCTCTGCTGTGATGATCAGTAGGCTCCCGACGTTGAAAGAAACCACAACAGCTATGCCATTTACCCACTTCCTAAGAGGAGGAGCTTGGAGAAAAGAGGTATGCTGGGCAAAGGAGTCAGAAGATCAGAATTCTAGCTGCATCCCCATGTCATCCATTAGTTGTATGCTGCTTAGAGCGGCATGCTCTGTCTCATTTGTTTTCCTCATTTACAAAATGAAGTTAGTAATCCCTATCTTGTGTAATGGCTGTGGGGATTAAACACATGGTACATTTGAAAGCTTGTTGGAAACTAAAAATCCTCTAGAAGTGTAGGAAATTATTAGTCTAGGGGCATGGGCCACAGCTAGTGGGAAGTACTGTGGGCTGAGATTTTTTTTTCCCAAATCTTGGGCATATTTTTTAAACAGTCTTATTTGCCTATCATTGTCACATAACATTTTAATTTATTTGAGGTATACAACTTGATATTTTTATTATGCATATGTTGTGTAATGATCATCACAATCAAGCTAATTATTGTGCCCATTACTTCTACTTGTTGCTATATAGTATGGGCACGTGTGTCTGTGAGTGTGAAGGAGTGAGGTTTAATCTGAGGTCTATCTGTTTAGCAACTCACAAACATATAATACAATATTAACTGTCTTCATCATACTATATATTACATCACCATAACATAGGGGCTACATAATGGAAACTTTGCCCTCTTTGACTATCATTACCCTACTTCTCCTCCCCCTAGCACCTGACAACTCCTATCTTATCCTCTGCTTCCATGAATTTGACTATTTTAGATTCTACATTTAAATGAGATCAATCAGTATCTATTGTGGCCTAATTGGAGACTTTGGGTAAATGACCAACTTCCTGTGTACTGGTCTTCTGCATTTGTCTTTCTTGGAAAGGTTCTTTCTAGATAATACATTGCAACACATCCAGGATTCAGAGGCTCTCTTCTTAGAAGAAAGCAGTTGAAGTTGTAATAGCAAAAAAATGCATAGCTACAGATAAACAACTGAAGGTTATACTGTCTGGCTTTTTTTCATTAAAAAAAAAAAAACAGGCAAGAAACAGCTTCTTGTCCTTTTATTTATGTTTATTCATTTGAAAGAGAGAGAAAAAGAGAGAATGAATATGAATATTTCCACCCACTGGTTCACTTCCCAAATGCCCACAAGAGCTGGTGTAATGCCAGGCCAAAACTAGGAGCCAAGACCTCTATTCAGGTCTCCCATGTGGATGCAAGAAGCTGGATCAGAAGCAGAGTGGGGCTCAAACCCATGCATACTGCTATGGAATGAGGCTGTCTCATGTGGCAGCTTAATGTCTTTAAGTCTGCAAGAATGTTAGCACTTGAAAATTTTGATACACGTACCTAAACAGAACTGTTCAAGTTCTTAAGGGGAGCTTGAAAATTTGAAGAATGAAACTTAGATATTGTACAATTATTCATATAATCATTTTCCCTTTCATTTCTATCCTTATGGCTTCCCTCCTATCCACTATCTGGACAATTTCTATCTTAATTTAATCGTTTAACCTCTTATTTGCAACCAAACAAATTTTCCATGGCACATCATACTGTTTGGGGAGACATTAATAATAAGTTGGCTAGATTGGGCTGTTCCCAGGATCCCGGCCTAGCATGAGGGCAGAGCCCTCTTCTGCAGGGCTCTAGCTACCACGGTGTTTGCAGTGGACGGGAGCATGTTAGTGTTGGCAGACAAGGGAATCCGAGTAAGCAGCATGACCCTTGCACTATGGCATCTCTCCAGCCGACTGAGGAGAGGCCACAGAAGGAGACAAGCTGTGAACATTTCTGTAACGATGAGCTCTACATGTGCCGGGAGGAGAAGTTCACAAAGTGAGTTAGTGTACAAAGAGTGGAAGTTGGAACTCACAGATTGTCCTGTCCAGTCTGGAGATCCGAGAACGTGGCCTTTGGGCCTGAATCTGAGCGGGAAATAACTAGGCATAGGCAGGAGGGGAGGCAATGGCAGGAAAGGGTCAGGAACTTTCTGAACTGAGGGAAGTGTTTGTGCAGAGATCGTGGACAGGAAGAAGGTTTGCATTTTAGAGGAAATGAAAGCGTGTCAGTGAGGCTAAGGTGCAGAAGAAGTGAGACTGGGGTGCAAGATGACCTTCAACCGTGGACCAAAGCTGGGCCAGGCATGATCTTGTAGGTCATGCCAACCACTTTGTTCTGGAAGAAAGCTGTTTCAGGAGATCAGGCACAAGGTTGGGCGATGAAGCTGGAAATGTAAAGGGAGCCCACCTGAGAGAAAATTAAAAAGAAGTAAACTAGAGGCAAGCCGGCAACAGACCAAATCAAAGAAGTGGAGAGGTAACAGAGTGTTTTCAAGGCTCTGACCACAGGTGTGTGGGGGTGGCTTTCTGAGGTCGAAGGTTCTGCACTGTCTCAACTGCAACCCCCCCCCCCTTTCCATTTCTGTCACTCATTTTTAGCATGGGAACTGCAGAGCTGGCTGTCCAGGTACACCTTTTATAATGGAGGCTCATGTTTGGAGGGTGAATGAGTGAACAGCAGGTGTGAGAGGAGGCAGAGGGGTCAGGGAAGACAAGGAGGAGGAGGGAAGAGAAGGGACCCTGACAGGTGGAAAGGGAGGTGAAGGGGGGGTCCCTCAACGGAAAGTTGTAAAGAATCTTGGCCAACTTGGTCTAATCATCTTAATATACGACCGAGAAAAATGAATTTTAAAGTTTTTGGTGTACTATCAATGTGATACTCGCACTTGTAGAAATATTGGAAGACCTATTTTCAGGTAACTAAAAAATACATTGGAAAGACAGAAAGGTGGAAAGCAAGTTGAAATCACCAGGCTTTCCGCCTGCAGGCAGCCACGGTGAACCAAGGACTTTCTTTCTACTTTCTTTTGATTTTTTAGCAGCTCGAAATTGGACAAAGGACACAACTCCGTGCCTATTTTTAAAGTGAAACCACAGTTGGGAAACTTCCCATACTCGCTCCCAGCCTCTACCCGGAAACAGGAGGTGGAGACAAGCGGGGTATGAACTTTACTGCAGGAAGCAGCTGCGTCAGGACTCCCTGGACCCGAGCCACTGCTCAGCGCTACCGCTACCGGCACCTGACAGGAGAAACAAGTTCCCGGGAAGCTGCAGCGGGAGTGCAGCGCTAGTTTGAGCTCAAGAACTGGAGCCAGCGGGCCAGGCGGGGACATTCGGGACTTGGAGGCGGAGGGAACGCAGCGAGGAGGTTGGGGGTTCCCGCTCCAGGAGCGGGGAGCTCGCTCCGCGAGCCCACGCCCAGCAACATGGGCCCCCTGCTGTTCCTGCTGCTTTTGGGGCTCCACAAGGTTTCAGGAAGTTCTGAGCGTAAGTAGAACAAGGGCGCGCGGGTATGCGCAGGGAGTCCGGAGAAAGTTGGTTGGAGGAGAGCGGGCGCGACAGGGGAGGCTAGATGGAGCCCCAAGGGAGATTGGACTCATCCCGGGAGCGCGGAGCGCACTGCTTAGCCCCGCCAGAAAGCAGCTGCGCCCTCCAGGAGAGGGAGCCCGGCCCATAGCTGATGTTTTGTCTCCTTGCACTCTTGGCGCTCCCGACCATTTGCCATGCCTCTCCAGTCTCCTCTTTCTCCTTTTCCTCTTCATTCCTCCTTTTCTCCTTCCTCTTCCACACTTATGTATTTGAAAAGTAGTTACAGACACAGGGGGTTGGGAGTGGGGGTGAGGGGGGAGAGAGAGAGAGAGAGAGAGAGAGAGAGAGAGAGAGAGAGAGAGATCTTCCACCCCCTGATTCACTTCCTAAATGTCTACAAAGGCTATGGCTAGGCCAAGCCCAAGTCAGGAGCCAGGAACTCTATCCGTGTCTGTCTGTTGGGGAACAGAAGCCCAAGTATTTGGACCATCATCTAGTTCCTTTCCCAGACACATTAACAGGGAGCTGCATGAGAAGCAGAGCATCCTGAACTGCACTGGCGCTCATAGCAGATACTGGAGTGTCAGGTTGCAGCTACCCCTTGCCAGAATGCCATCCAATCTTCTTCTTTTTCCCTCCAGTCTTGCAAAGAAGTTTCCCGTTTCATGGACTGCAGATCTCCTCCTTTGTCAGCAGCAGCCAGGCACGCACAGACTGCTTGGCGTGGCTGGGGGAGCTGCAGACCCACAGTTGGAGCAATGACTCAGACTCCATCCGCTTCCTGAAGCCCTGGTCCCAGGGCACATTCAACCTCCAGCAGTGGGAGCAGGTGCAGAATGAGCTTTGGGTTTATCGACTCAGTTTCACCAGGGACATTCAAGATTTTGTCAAACTGCTGAAGCTAACCTGTGAGTAGAGGGAGAGGATCCTGGGCAGCCATCAAGGGAAAGGGTGGATGCAGAAGCCCAGCGGGGAGACTGTGGCCTCACCTGATGAGCATCTCCCCACCTCTTCTGTTGCTGCTTCTGCCTGGTGATGTCCTAGTCTCTGACTCCTCAAAATATCCCTTTGACATGCCTGCTGCAAGCCACCCACACTAATTTCTCTAAACTCCAAGTCCCCATTATAACATCCACACCAATTTCTTCTGCTTCCCTACTTCCAGTCTTTTGAACTCTTCTCTAATCCTTTCCACAGACCCTATTGAGCTTCAGGTGTTTGCTGGCTGTGAGATGCACCCTGGCAATGCCTCAGAAAGCTTCTTCCACGTGGCCTATCAAGGAATGCACGTTTTGAGTTTCCGAGGAACTTTGTGGGAGGCAGCTCCAGGGACTCCGCCGTTTGTAAAGCTTGTTGTCAAAGAGCTCAACCTGGACCATGGGACAAGAGAAATGATACAGGAGCTCCTGAATAACACCTGTCCCCAATTTGTCAGTGGTCTCATTGAGGCTGGGAGATCAGAACTGGAGAAGCAAGGTCAGCCTGCCTTCCTTAGCCCCACATCCAGTAGGGGGCTTCATCTGGGTTTTTCCATTCCAAGCGTCCCTTCCGTTTGAGCATCCGAGGAAGAGAAGGACCCAGGAGGGCATTCATAAAGCATGAGGGTGGGCCGACGCTGCAGCTCGCTAGGCTAATCCTCTGCCTGTAGCGCTGGCACTCCGGGTTCTAGTCCTGGTTGGGGTGCCGGATTCTGTCCTGGTTGCCCCTCTTCCAGGCCAGCTCTCTGCTGTGGCCCGGGAGTGCAGTGGAGGATGGCTCAAGTGCTTGGGCCCTGCACCCACATGGGAGACCAGGAGAAGCACCTAGCTCCTGGCTTTGGATCAACGCAGTGCGCTGGCCGCAGCGGCCATTGGAGGGTGAACAAACGGTAAAGGAAGACCTTTCTCTCTGTCTCTCTCTCTCTCTCACTGTCCTCTCTGCCTGTCAAAAAAAAAAAAAGAAAAAAAAAAGAAAAAAAAAGAAAAAAAAAAGCATGAGGGTGTTTATTCGTCCCACAGACAGTAATGGAATACCTCATGGGGGACATGAATTGCACTGAGTAAACACTGAGGGTCAGAATGGGGGCTGGCAGACAGGATCCCTGCTGGAGGGGGAGAAGACAGATGAACAAAGCAACACTTGTACAGAGGAGGGCTTGTTTCCAGGACACCTGGGTCAGGGCAGGGGAATGAGAATCGGGGGAAGGCTGTCCTGGAGAAAGGGACTCAAAGGGGCTGGAGGCACGAGAGGCTTTGTCTCTGAAAGTGGACCTTGAGGCGGGAAGAGCCTCAAATGCAGAATAATCCTCATGGTCCCCTCCCCCGTTCTCTTACTGGATACAGTGAAGCCCGAGGCCTGGCTGTCCAGCGGCCCCAGCCCTGGACCTGGCCGTCTGCTGCTAGTGTGCCGTGTCTCTGGCTTCTACCCAAAGCCTGTCCAGGTGATGTGGATGCGGGGAGACCAGAAGCAGCCACACACTCGACAAGGTGACTTCCTGCCCAATGCCGATGGGACGTGGTATCTCCGAGTTACCCTGGACGTGGCAGCTGGGGATGCGGCTGGCCTGTCCTGTCGGGTGAAGCACAGCAGTCTAGGAGGCCAGGACATCGTCCTCTACTGGGGTGAGAAAGAACTGGGGTCCAGGCTGGAAATGGGAGGAGGTGGTCCTCCTGCATAGAGGGGGCACTGGGGAAGGGATGGGCTTGACACACCCAGGATAGAAGAGTTTCAGGAAGGAGACTCTGGGCCAGGCCGGGATGGGCAAGGAGGAGAGGATTCCAGATACGGGAAAGAGATAGAGACTTAAAAGAAAGGATGGAGATCAGGTGCACTATATTCACGAGGAAACACATCCAAAATTTCAGAGATCCAAAAGTTAGGTGGCAAGTAAAGAATCCCAAGAAGATTCATTTCCCAGCTGAGAGGGGACCAGGGACTTCAGAAAGGTTGGTAAACAGAGAGCTGTGGCTTCCTGAGCACTTCCAAGTCGTAGGCTGACCACCCTGCACGCGGCATTCCCTCTAATCACCACTGTCCTTTGAACAAGGCGCATCCTTTTTTTATAAAGGAAGAAATTCAGGCTAAGATGGGCACCTGCCTGGAGTCACTAAGAAAGTGAAAGAATTTGGGCTTAGACTCAGGTTGGCCCACCTGCAGAGCTGCTGCTCTTCCCTTCTAGGCCCACGCCATCGTGTGCTGAAGGGAACTGAGTTAGGGGTTCCCAGGCCCTGAGAAAAGCTGGGTGGGGGGATCTAGACACATGAGGCATAGAAGTAGGAGCTTCCAACGGAGGAAATGGGAGGCACCTACTCCCCTGCAAGGTGCTCAGAGCAGGGGTCTTGATACAGTGAGGGGTCTTGTGCACAGAGACATCTCTTGTTTCTCTAATGCAGCTGGGAGCCACACCTCTGTGTACTTGATCGTGGTGCTGGTGGTCCTGGCCTTACTGGGGCTCGGTGCAGGCTTAATCTTCTGGTTTAGGAGGCGCTGGTAAGTCTCCCTTTTCCAATCTCCTCTCTCCCTGGGCCTCTGTCCCCTTCTTTCTTTGCTCCCCTTTTCTTTAACGGCCCCTCTCCTCTGTTCCCTCACAGCTCCTACCAAGGCATCTTGTGACAGCTGCATCTCTGGAACTCACGACCTCAAGTTCCCAGCACTACAGTGCTAGTTGGCTCAGCAGTTGAGGGTGAAAAGAGAAGTACCTCAAAGAAGCAGAGAGCAATCACAGGCAGCTCTTGCAGCATCCTCCTAATATTTACCGAAAAATAAATTTTCATTAATACTACAAGTTGCTTCTGTAAAAACAAGAGTCTACCCGGGAAAGCACATAAGGACTACGGTATCAGTGTGTGTGTGGGGTCCTTATTTATGGGCATCTGCTGTGGACTGGAAAGCACATGTCCTATCCAAAGGGTGTAGCTGAAGCCACTTGTTTTCAATGGTAGAGTTGGTCCCTGCCTTGGCTGTAACCTACAATTTCTGGGAACATCCCTGATTTTAAAATATTGACTTCAAGGGAATGGCACTATACTTTTACTGGGGGATTTTCTGCCTTCACAATCTTGCATAATAATGACCATCTTTCTTGTTTCTGTGTGTAGCATATCTTTAAACATCTTTTGTAAGGCTGGATGAGTGGTGACAAATTCTTTCAATTTCTATTTCTTATGCAGGATCTTTTTTTTTTTTTTTTTTGACAGGCAGAGTGGACAGTGAGAGAGAGAGACAGAGAGAAAGGTCTTCCTTTTGCCGTTGGTTCACCCTCCAATGGCCACCGCGGCTGGCGCGCTGCAGCCAACACACTGTGCTGATCCGAAGGCAGGAGCCAGGTGCTTCTCCTGGTCTCCCATGGGGTGCAGGGCCCAAGCACTTGGGCCATCCTCCACTGCACTCCCTGGCCACAGCAGAGAGCTGGCCTGGAAGAGGGGCAACCGGGACAGAATCTGGCGCCCCGACCGGGACTAGAACCCGGTGTGCCGGCGCCGCAAGGTGGAGGATTAGCCTAGTGAGCCGCGGCGCCAGCCATACAAGATCTTTATTTCACCTTCACTCATAAATGAAAGTTTTACAGGATACAGTATTCTGGGTTGACAGTTTTATCCTATCAAGATTAGGACTGTATCTCGCCATTCCCTTCTAGCCCGTAGGGTTTCTGATGAGAAGTAAGCTGTGAGTCTAATCGAAGATCCTCTGAAACTAATCCAGCATTTTTCTCATGCACATTTTAGAATCTTTTCTTTATGCTATACTATGGAAAGTTTGACTGCAATATGGTGAGGATCTTTTCTGGTCATGTCTGTTAGGAGTTCTATGTGCTTCCTGTACTTGGATGTCCCTTTCTCCAAATTAGGAAAGCTTTCTATAATTATTTCACTAAATAGGTCTTCTAGTCTACTCTCTCTTCTCTATACATTCAGGAACTCCTACGTACCATGTGTTGGGTTGCTTGATAGTGTGCCATATACCTACAACACTGTTTTTAAGTTTTCTATTTTCTTCTTCTTTTTTTCTTTTTTTGGTCTTATAGAAAAATTTCTAAAGATTTGTCTTCTAGTTTTGATATTCTTTCTTCTGCCCCACCAAGACTGCTTTTCAGGCTTTCCACCACATTTTTTTTTATTTGATGTATTCAATTCTTTTTAAAAAAAAATTTATTTATTTATTTGAAAGACAGAGTTACAGAGAGGCAGAGGGAAAGAGAAAGAGAGAGAGAGAGAGAGAGGGAGAGGTCTTCCATCTGCTGGCTCACTCCCCGGATGACCACAACATCAGAGCTGTGCCGATCTGAAGCCACAGGAGCCTGGAGCTTCTTCCAGGTCTCCCGAACAGGTTCAGGGGCCCAAGGACTTGGGCCATCTTGTACTTCTTTCCCAGGCCATAGTAGAGAGCTGGATCAGAAATGGAGCAGCCGAGATTTGAACTGGCGCCTATATGGGATGCTGGGATGGCAGGTAGTGGCTTTACCAGCTATGCTACAGTGCCAGCTCAAAATTCTTCATTTTTAATATTTCTTTTTTTTTTTTATTTTATTTATTTATTTATTTTTTTAACTTTTATTTAATGAATATACGTTTCCAAAGTACAAACAATGGATTACTATGGCTTCCCCCCCATACCGTCCCACCCACAACCCTCCCCTTTCCCACTCCCTCTCCCCTTCCATTCACATCAAGATTCATTTTCGATTATCTTAATATACAGAAGATCAGCTTAGTATACATTAAGTAAGGATTTCAACAGTTTGCTCCCACACAGAAACATAAAGTGAAAAATAATAGATGATTTTTTTTAATGATGATGAAATCAGATCAGACCTATTGTCATGTTTAATCCCAGTGAGAGTCAAGTTGGGAGTTGATAGTTTCTTTTTTTTTTTTTTTTTTTTTTTACAGAGGATCAGTTTAGTATGCATTAAGTAAAGATTTCAACAGTTTGCACCCCCATAGAAACACAAAGTGAAATATATTATTTGAGTACTCATTATAGCATTAAATCTCAATGCACAGCACATTAAGGACAGAGATCCTACATGAGGAGTAAGTGCACAGTGACTCCTGTTGTTGACTTTACCAATTGACACTCCTGTCTATGGCATCAGTAATCTCCCTATGCTCCAGTCATGAGTTTCCAAGGCTATGGAAGCCCCTTGAGTTCTCCGACTCTTATCTTGTTTAGACAAGGTCATAGTCAAAGTGGAGGTTCTCTCCTCCCTTCAGAGAAAGGTACCTCCTTCTTTGAAGACCTGTTCTTTCCACTGAGATCTCACTCACAGAGATCTTTTGCCAGAGTGTCTTGGCTTTCCATGCCTGAAATACTCTCATGGGCTTTTCAGCCAGATCTGAATGCCTTTAGGGCTGATTCTGAGGCCAGAGTGCTATTTAGGGCATCTGCCATTCTATGAGTCTGCTGAGTATCTCACTTCCCATGTTGGATCACTCTCCCCTTTATTTATTCTATCGGTTAGTGTTAGCAGGTACTAGACTTGCTTATGTGCTCCCTTTGACTCTTAGTCCTTTCATTATGATCAATTGCGAACTGAAATTGATCACTTGGACTAGTGAGATGGCATTGGTACATGCCACCTTGATGGGATTAAATTGGAGTCCCCTGGTATGTTTCTAACTCTACCATTTGGGGCAAGTCAGCTTGAGCATGTCCCAAATTATATATCTCTTCCCTCTCTTATTCCTACTCTTATGTTTAACAGGGATCACATTTCAGTTAAATTTCAACACTTAAGAATAACTGTGTATTAATTACAGAATTGAATCAGTCATATTAAGTAGAACAGACAAAAAAACTACTAAGAGGGATAATGTATTAAGTTGTTCATTAACAGTCAGGGCAATGCTGATCAAGTCACCGTTTCCCATAGTGTCCCTTTCTCTTCAACAAGTTTCCATTTTGGTGTTCAGTCAGTTGTCACCGATCAGGGAGAACATATGGTATTTGTCCCTTTGGGACTGGCTTATTTCACTCAGCATGATGTGTTCCAGATTCCTCCATTTTGTTGCAAATGACTGGATTTCGTTGTTTCTTACTGCAGTATAGTATTCTAAAGAGTACATATCCCATAATTTCTTTATCCAGTCTACCGTTGATGGGCATTTAGGTTGGTTCCAGGTCTTAGCTATTGTGAATTGTGCTGCAATAAACATTAGGCTGCAGACTGCTTTTTTGTTTGCCAATTTAAATTCCTTTGGGTAAATTCCAAGGAGTGGGATGGCTGGGTCGAACGGTAGGGTTATCTTCAGGTTTCTGAGGAATCTCCAGACTGATTTCCATAGTGGCTTCACCAGTTTGCATTCCCACCAACAGTGGGTTAGTGTCCCTTTTTCCCCACATCCTCGCCAGCATCTGTTGTTGGTAGATTTCTGAATGTGAGCCATTCTAACCGGGGTGAGGTGGAACCTCATTGTGGTTTTGATTTGCATTTCTCTGATTGCTAATGACCTTGAACATTTTTTCATGTGCCTGTTGGCCATTTGGATTTCCTCTTTTGAAAAATGTCTATTGAGGTCCTTGGCCCATCTCTTAATTGGGTTGTTGGTTTTGTTTTTGTGGAGTTTCTTGATCTCTTTGTAGATTCTGGTTATTAACCCTTTATCTGTTGCATAGTTTGCAAATATTTTTTCCCATTCTGACGGTTGTCTCTTCACTCTCCTGACTGTTTCTTTTGCAGTACAGAAACTTCTCAATTTGATGCAATCCCAATAGTTGATTTTGGCTTTGACTGCCTGTGCCTCCCGGGTCTTTTCCAGAAACTCTTTGCCTGTGCCAATATCTTGAAGGGTTTCTCCAATGTTCTCTAGTAACTTGATGGTGTCAGGTCGTAGATTTAGGTCTTTAATCCATGTTGAGTGGATTTTTGTGTAAGGTGTAAGGTAGGGGTCTTGCTTCATGCTTCTGCACGTGGAAATCCAATTTTCCCAGCACCATTTATTGAATAGACTGTCCTTGCTCAAGGAATTAGTTTTAGATCCTTGATCAAAAGAAGTTCTCATTTTTAATATTTCATTTTGATTTTGCTTTACAATATGAATTTTGTTGGAAAGATTTTCATTCATAGCATGTCTGGTTTTCTTTAGTTCTTGGATTTGTTTCTGATTGCTTTGAGTAGCCCTGTGATTAATTTTTTGAATTGTTTCTGGCATTTCCTCAATCTCTTCATCTTCACATTCTAATATTGAAATGTTGTTGTGTCCCTTTTGGTGTGTGTGGGGGTCATTATGTCTGCCATGTCCTTGTTTCTTGAATTTCTGTGTTTGTTTTTAGGCATTTTTGGGGTTGAGTTTTGTTTTTTTTTTCCTCTGACAGCTTTTGTCTTTCAGCTATGCCTCTTTGGCTTAGCGGGATGTCTGCAGTTTCAGCGAATATCAAGAGGAGTGTGGTGAGTGTGGTCAAGGACCTCTGGTCAGTGCTCCAACTGGGGCAAGTATCCAAGGTAGCACTCAAGTTGGGCGTGATAGATTGCAATGCCAGGTGTTAGCCCCCCCCCCCACCCCGCCGTGCCACCATATGAACTGCACAAATGATCTGTGCAGTCCCCACTGTGAGCACAGTGACCATGTGGAGCCACTCCCGGTGATTGCCCTGAGACCCAGCTACTCCCTGCACCTTCTCATGTAACCGCTGAGTTCCCAGGATCTCAGCACACACAGCTCCCACAGTCGCTGCGTGCAGAGGTTTCTGTTTGTCCTGCCAGGCTGCCCAGTCAACCAAGAGACAGATGTTTTCAAGATAGCTCTGCCTGAATGTCTTGATCCTGGAAGGCGGAGGACACCTCAC